CACCCTACAAACCTCCCTCTGCTCCCCCGGGGCCTAGAGAAGGCCCTTTAAGGGGATAAGAAATGATGCATTTTGTGGAAAGCAACCTCCAAGCTGAATTAGGTGAAAGAAGCCATTGTTCTTAACAGAAGGAGTCACCAGCCTCAGGCCTGGAAAATCAGCTTAGATTCCTTTAGAACCTGAGTCTCTGAGCAGCCTAGCCCCTTCTACCTAAGTGTACTATCTTCACCTCTTCTTGACCCTCGTGAAGCTGGTTTTCTGTCTATACATTTTTCTGCTTGGGCAGGAAAATACGTCTGGGCTGGGGAATCTCCGTTTCAGGAGTGTAGCGCCGGAACTCTGGGCTCTCCGACATTGACCTTGCCTTACTCTCAGCATCCCTGTCTTCCTTGGGAAATCTCACTGTCTAGGTGGGAAGTAGGCTTCATGTTGTCTCTTTCTCACTACAGAGCCACCATGGAACAAACCCTTAAAAGAGGCCCTGCCTCGAGAGCAGCCTGACCAGCATGGTGAAACCTGGTCTCTACTAAAGTACAAAACAAATTAGCTGGGCAGCGCGGCGCACCTGTAATCCTAGCTACTTAGGAGGCCGAGGCAAGAGAATCACTTGGGCCCGGGAGGCAGAGGTTGCAGTGAGCCAAGATCATGCCACCGCACCCCATCTTGGGTGACAGAGTGAGACTCCATCTCAAACAAAAAAAAAGAGGCGTGGCCAAGCTGGTACTCCTCCCAGACTCTTCAGCCAGCCAAGCAAGGAAATGGGGAGGTTGGAGGACAACAGCTGCTAGGCCTGTTTCTATTGTCCAGCCCTCCAGAGTACCCCTGAATCCTGCCTATTGTCCTTGCTGGGTTCTCTACCCTCCCATCAATTCTATGAGTCCCTGACTTCCTTCCACTCAGTTCCCTTTTTGCATAAGACGGTCTCAATTGTTCCCACCTTGTCTAGTGGTTAGGGAAAAAAAGAAAAAGACGGTCTCTGTGTCTGATGACTGCATTCATGAAACCTAACTGATTGTAGTATTAACCTCAAGGTGAATGAATCTTCTGGCCAAGTAGATATTATTATATCTATTATTAGTGCTTCTCTTGCCAACATTTCTGGCTCTATGTTCTGCTGTTTGTTACTCATGTAGCTAAAAAGATTCGCATTTTAATACAATGAATTGGAATAAGATGGCTAGAGACAGATCAGGACAAGATCAGAGTAGGGAACAAACAATTCTAAAATGGTCTAGTTGTGCAATCTATTTCTCAACGTAGCACCTAAACATCATAATTATAGCATTTGGGGACAGGTAAAATGATTGATTTTGCAGAAAATATCTGTTGTTTAATTACAGGATCATATGGGTCTTTTGGCAACCAACAGATGCCAAAACAGACTTAAGCACCATCTTGAGAAACTTGTGATTTGCTTAGTGTGCTTTTAATTTAAAGCATATGGTTTCACATTCAACTGCAGTGTCCAAAATGAAGACATTAGCAATGAATCACTCCATTGGAGAAAACGCAGTGCTCCCGGACCAGGACTTTTGGTCTGTGTACTCAAATGGTTCTGTTTAGAGGCATAAACACAAAGCAGCTCTGCCTGCTTCAGCCGGCTGTTCCTGGGATTTATGAGACATCAAAGGGCCTCATGAACAAATTCCCCTGCAATGCACAATGCTTGGCACCATGGCCTGCCTCCATCTGAATAAACAGAGTGCAGTTTGGTCACTGGAAACTAGGATTAGAATGATCAGAAGGCTGAAAAGATCATTTATTTTATGGCAACTTTTCATTATTTAATCTCTCAGCCTTCCAGTTAATCTGACACTTCATGGCCCTTGGGGAATCCAGCTATCCTGTGTAGAATTTCGGAACTGCAGCCTTTATACTAAGAACCATGCTCTGGCTACGGGCCACAGACCTGAGTCCACTGAGACCACATGTGGTCTATCTGCTGGTGAGGGATGCCAGTAAGGCATACAGTGTAGCTGTAAGGATGTGGGCTCTGGAGGTCCATGGCCCAAATTTGTACCAACAAGCCATTTCCTAGTTATGTGAACTTGGGTAAAGAGGTCCTGGGCTTCAGTTTCAGAATCTGTACAATGGTAATAATAGTAAAAATGTTTCAGAGTTGTTATGGGAATTAAATGAAATTACCCATGTCCAGAGCTAAGTTAAGAATCTAGCATCTAGTAAGCTATAATAATATAGTTAACTGTTATTGTAACTACAATTATTATTAGAAATAGGTCCTGCCTCTTTGTCTCAAGTCCTTTCATGCTTCTGCTTAAATTAATTCAGTGTACATTTAGTGAAGTGCCTACTGCGGGCCCTGTGTGTTAGATGCTTTGACATACTTCTCAGAGTGCTGTATGGCTTGAAAAATAGCTTTTGTATTTCTCTGTTCATTTTCTTCAATGTTTCCACCCATCCTGTATTCATTTCGCCCTACAGGACATTCTCCCTCAGTCCTCATTGAGTTCTTAGTCACTCTCTATCTCTGCACCACCCAGTAGTAAGGACTACATCAAGCTAAAGCATAGAATGCTGTTAGTCCTGGTAGCACCATTTGACTATACTCCAGGCGGTTACATCAAAGGGGAGGCATCACAGAAGGTTTATCCAATCTGTTTTATTTTCCAAAGAGAGCTCTGGGTAGAAAATATATTACTCCTAAAGATTTGTTGTAGCTCTTTATATATTAGGCGCAGTAACCTGTTGTCAAATATAGCTGTTACAAGTATTTTTACCACTTACTCCTTGTTTTTTAATTTTCCATTCTGTTTGTTACCGCTTGTTTGTTTTTACTGTTAAAAGGGTTTTTTCACCTGTAATCCCAGCACTTTGGGAGGCTGAGGTGAGTAGATCATTTGAGGTCAGGAATACACAAGTAGCCTGGCCAACATGGCGAAAACCTGTCTCTGATAATAATACAAAAATCAGCCAGGCGTGGTGGCAGGCCCCTGTAACCCCAGCTACTTGGGAGGCTGAGGCAGGAGAATTGCTTGAACCTGGGAGATGGAGGTTGCAGTGAGCCAAGATCATGCCGCTGGACACTGCCTGGGCAACAGAGTGAAACTCCATCTCAGAAGAAAAAAGCGTTATTTTTTCTCATTTTGATGTACTCAGCTTAGTATTTTAGAGTGCTTGCCCTTAGCCTCATGCTTACAGAAATCTTTTCTACCCTGTGATTATATATTCACTTATATTTGCTTTCATCACTTTTCAAATTTTTTAATATTTAGATTTCATACAAATATTCTTAAAATATTTATCTTTAAACTAGGATTTATCTAGCAAAAATTATTAACTGCATAAGTCAGCCATGATTATTGATTATTTTCTCTTCCTGGAGATCTTGACTTGCTTTTATGGCAGTGATGGCTCTTGGAAGTCACTAATGAAAGAATGCAAAAATGGTCCACTGGGTGTAAGCAATAGACAACTCTGAAGATAAGCCCTTCCTTTTTTCGTTTTGTTTTGATTTAAAAAAAAAAAAACCTTTGCAATTATTAGTTTATTAGTATTATCCAGGACTCAGATGTTCAGTATTCCTCCTGAAATTACATAAACAAATGCAAATGGAAAGAATCCAAGTCAAAATTATATAACAAAACAGCACTGCACCATGAAAGCGTGTAAAATTACAAGAATGCTATTTTAAAATACTGGCATTTTAAGAAAATGATAATCTCAAAAACCACAAAATTGCCAAATTGTTCCCAAAACTGCTAAGCAGATAAACATGACTAATGAATGAGTTTGGGTTTTGTAAAGAAAATCATTCAACTAAATTTAATAATTCATACTGAAATGCAAAGTTTAAGTGTCTTCTTTCCTCCTATCTACTTGGATTTATAAGAAGGCAAACCATAATATAGGAAAACATACTCTATTTTGAATGTGGCATCTTTGTCTTAAAATCTGGCCCAATTAATTAAAAATACTTTTAATGGCTGGGCTCAGTGACTCACACCTGTAATCCCAGCACTTTGGGAGGCCAAGGTGGGTGGATCACCTGAGGACAGGAGTTCAGGGCCAGCCTGGACAACCTGGTGAAACCCCGTCTCTACTAAAAATACAAAATGGGCATGGTGGCACATGCCTGTAATCCCATCTACTCGGGAGACTGAGGCAGGAGAATCACCTGAACAACACGGAGCATGGAGGTTGCAGTGAGCCAAGATCATGCCATAGCCCTCCAGCCTGGGTGAAAGAGCGAGACTCCATCTCAAAAAAAAAAAAAAAAGCAAACAAAAACAAATCCTTCTTTTAATGGGAAATCTCATTTCCTGATTAGTCCATATTTAGATAAATGGGAAAAGACATAGCCAGCATTTTTAGAGTCTTCACTGAGACTAATGTCAACAAAAAATTTAATTTGTCAATCTTGTATTTTAAAGTCACGCTTTTGAGGTTACTATCTCAGGTCTTATTTAATATGGGAACTGCAAAATATAACTGCCCTTACCTGGTAATGAGAGTTAAAGAATAGAGTCTTCATGTAAAGGTTAGAACATAATTTTCTAACAGTCCTTTAAAGACAGCCTTTCAAAATGTTTGGTTCTAATAATCCCATGCTGTGAGTAGATTGATTACTCTTCAGTTTGTAAATATAAGTGGGCTATGTGAAATTTCTTAACTGATCAAGATTTTGTATTTCCAGTTATGGACGAAAATCATCTCAACTTAACTTTACCCCCATTATGATATGCAGGGTGTGTAGACAAAAGCCTTTTATTAGCTAACTATATGAAAGGATAAACACTATAATAATTCATGTGATTCAAAATGAGCAAAAGCAAAAGACTAGCTTCCCCTCAAGAAGAAAAATTTCAGACCTATGAAAAGGACAATACTAATAAAAAAATTTATTTCCTTAGAAGCATTCAGAATGTCAATAAAACAGCTGCAACTTTTTTTTTAATAATTACAGAGTGTCATTCAGTTAACAGAACAACAATTATTTTATATAAGCTGCATCAGAGACAACTGAAGATGAAAAACTACCATCCTTATATGTAACTAATTTGTGCTGTGCACCAAAGAACCTGCTTTACATTTCCAGGCCAGTTTGCATCCCCCACCCTATACCACGCAAGGTTAGTGGCTATTGAAAATACCACCAGGATAGGGCTAAAGACACATTCGGTAGTGTGTAAACTACATTAAAAAAGACACTGTACAGTTTAAAACAAATCTTACACAGCCTTACATTTCCATTTTTTTCTTTGAAAGGAGTGAGTTGTGTATGGGAGGGTTAAATGCTTTATAGACAAGAAAAAAAAACTGCACTAGAATCAACTTTTCTTCATCTTCCTCCTCCTCATCATCCTCTTCCTCCTCTTTCTTGCATTTTTTCAGCCTTGACAACTCCCTTTTTTGCTGCATCAGGCTTTCCTTTAGCTCGATATGCAGCAATATCCTTTTCATATTTTTCCTTCAGCTTCGAAGCCTTCTTTTCATAAGGCTGCTTGTCATCTGCAGCGGTGTTACTCCACATCTCTCCCAGTTTCTTCACAACATCACCCATGGACAGGCCAAGATGTTCTCCTTTGATTTTTGGGCGATACTCAGAGCAGAACAGGAAAAAGGCCGAAGGAGGCCTCTTGGGTGCACTGGGATCCTTGAATTTCTTTTTTGTCTCCCCTTTAGGAGGGATATGGGTTTTCATTTCTCTTTCATAGCGGGCCTTGTCTGCGTTTGCCATATCTTCAATTTTCCTTTCTCTTTAGCAGGCATGGCCTTCCACCTCTCTGAGCACTTCTTAGAAAACTCTGAGAAGTTGACTGAAGCATCTGGGTGCTGCTTCTTATGTTCCTCCCAACAAGTTTGCACAAAAAATGCATATGATGACATTTTGCCTTTTGGCTTCTTAGGATCTCCTTTGCCCATGTTGAATCATTTTTCCTCAGCGAGGCAGAGTCACCCAGTGCTCATCTGGCTCTCACTTGCCCCTGCACTGTCTCTATGGAGCTCAATGTACTGCAATGGCTGTGAGAGAAGGAGCCAGATGCAGCCTCCTCACTCTCTCTGCTCTGTAACATTACCCTTCCTTGTTTTTATACAGTTTAATGATTTGTAGCAATATACTGTAATAGCTCAGCCTTTTAATTTGGGTTCTGCTGCACTTATAACAAAATTGCAAATACAGAGTGAATCACTGTTGATGAATAGGATTTGTCTTCTTAAGTGTGCTAGGGCAGGGAAACAAGTTGAATTCACTCTTAAGTCCTTTTTGCTCTGTGCTTGTGCTGTTCCCACTCCAGCTAAGGCTTTCATCACCTCAGCTGGACTATTATAATGTCCTTTTTGATTCTCTTTTTTCCCTCTCTCCTCTAAATTATTCTACACGCCACTGCCAATTACTATATGTCATCCTCCTGGTCAGAAGCTCCAGTGTCTCCCCAGAGCCCATGGGATAAAAGACAAAATCTTTAATAATTACCTCCAACCGGGCGCAGTGGCTCATGTCTGTAATCCCAGCACTTTGGGAGGCCAAGGTGGGCAGATCACAAGGTTGGGAGTTCAAGACCAGCTTGGCCAACATGGTGAAACCCCATCTGTACTAAAAATACAAAAAATTAGCAGGGCATGGTGGTGCATGCCTGTAATCCCAGCTACTCGGGAGGCTGAGGCAGGAATCGCTTGAATCTGGGAGGCAGAGGAGAGGTTGCAGTGAGCCGAGATCGTGCCATTGCACTTCAGCCTGGGTGACAGAGCAATATTCTGTCTTGTGGAAAAACAACAACAACAAACAACAACAATCAATGGCTTCCAAACTCTCACAATCGAACTTTATTTTCCTAAACTTTCCACTTCCCTGCCCCTGAAATCAGTGGTGATACTAAGGGAAGGCCTGTGGGCACTTTAACCTCCCTCAGAATATATTACTTAGGTCAATGAAAATCCACCCTCCATAGAAGTATTAGTATTGTTTGAAATTGAAAATATTCATTGTCCCTGTAATATAAAGTGTGAAAGAAAGCATCTTTAGACAACATTGCTATTTTGAAAAAAAAATCAAGTAATGTATTACCAAGAAAATACAAATTACTGTGCATTTGCTATATAAGCCATTCAATAGCCCATAAAATACTCCTTTTATTCTAAAAGATTGTTTTTCTAAACATCTTAAAACTTTATTTTTTTCTCTTATTTCTGTGGCATAGATTAGTGTTGCTGATATCCCCAGATTTCATAGATGAAAGAGTTACATAACCATCAGCTACCTTTCCTTACCACAAAATATGAAAACAGTAGTTATTCCCAATCCAACCATCTTTGGGATTTAGGATGACAGTTGTCTACTTCATATTGGGTAAAGGTTTTGTGTGTTTTTAGGCAAAGGTTTTGTGTAATCATTCAAGAAAATTTATGGTTTGGTTTTAAAATGCTAAGAAAAGCATAAATATTCATCAATAAAAACTTGTTACATAATGAAACATCCATAAAATGGAATCCTATGGAACCATAAATAAGAATGACATAGCTATATCATCATGGACCACATAACAACATGTTCTGATCAACAAGGAACCACATATAGGATGGTGGCCCCCGAAGATTATAATACCATATTTTTACTGTACCTTTTCTAAGTTTACATATGTTTAGATATACAACTTTTTACCACCGTGTTATAATTGCCTACAGTATTGAGTACAGGAACATGCTCTACAGGTTTGTAGCCCAGGCGCAACAGGCTATACCATATAGCTTAGGTGTCTGGTAGACTATACCATCTGTGTTTGTGTAAGTTCACTATAGGGTGTTCCAGCAAGGACAAACCTGTCTAATGGCACATTTCCCAGAACATATCCTCATTGTTAAGCGATGCATGACTGTATTTATGTATGCAAAAGCTTCCATGTTATAATGAAATATGAAAAAAGCAAGGCACAGAGCATGCAAATATGCTCACATTTGAGGGTTTTGTTTTTGTTTTACAGGCAGGAGAGATAGCCTTAGAATTGTATGTATATAGAATAGTTCACACAAGACAGTAATGGCAACAGTTTCCTCTGCAGCAAAGACTAGGGTTCTGGGGAGGACTTAAGCATTCTATAGTCTTTTGTGCTGTTTAACTTTTGTCTATACCTAAAGCATGTGAATTTTTTCAATTAAAACTGTTAATTAAACATTTTTAAAATAAAATTTATAATGAAATGTTCCCCTCATTTAATAACCCTTAAGCTAAGAGGCAAGTGAACTGTATCAACAGATACAGAAAAAACTAGGTCAGCACTTTTGAGTTAGAGAGGAACAGTGATTCTCTCTGAAACAGAAGAACATTCTTCAGTGACTGTATATCATTCAGAACTTAAGAAACAAAAAAAAGACAAAGCAGGGACAGAAAAGCTATAATTAAAACGCAAACAGTTTCCTTCCAGAAATATGGGAAAAGGACGTAGAAGAGAAGATGACCCTTAAGGAACATGGTATTTCCGAACGAGGCCACACAGTGCAGTTGTGCACATTGATAACAAGTTAGCTAGTTCCCAAGCTTCCATTTTTGCTGATGGTAGAAAACAATCTGCTAGGTTCCAGGTAAACTCAGCCACTTACAGGATTTTTCATAGTATCTCTTTAATATGAGCACTCAGTTAATTTAGGCTTCTCCTCCCTCACCCTTCTTCTCTTATCCTCTTCTTAGCCAAATTTAAAAACATTTTTACTCTACCTATTATCTGTATTTCCCCCTAGAGAACCCCTTTGGGCCCCATCACTCTCTTGAAACACATTGTCAGGGTTGTCAAAAGACCTCCAGGTTGCCAGGTTCGGAGGATCTTCTCTGTCTTTTTCTCGTTCCACTTCTCAGCAGCATTTGACAAGGCCAACCCATGGTTTTCTTAAACCACTCTCTTCTCAGCTTCTATGAAGACTCATCCTCCTTGCTTTCCTCCAAACCTCTAAATTCCAGAGTTCCTCAGGCATCAGAGAACCTTTTTTCTTCTCCCTTTACATTTATTCTCCAAGCCTGAAATTCCACGGATGTGTTGATGATGGCCTAGTTCACACATCCAGCCCAGATTGTTTCTGGATTTCAGACACACACAAGCTTCCTACTTGACATCTGCACTCATATGTTTCCAGGATATCCCATGCTTAGCATGTCCAGAACTGAACTCTTGGTCCCCTCATGTCTTGGAAACCTTAATCCTCCCTTGGCATTTTCTGTTTTAATAAGTGGCACCAGCATCCACCCAAGGATCCAAGCCAGAAGTCTGGAAGCCATTCCTGATGGTTTCCGCTCCCTCATCTTCCACATCCAATGCATCAGCAAGTTCTGTTTTGACCTTCTGCACACATCTTGATTTTGTCCATTTCTCTTCCTCTTCATGCCACAACCCCAGTCCAGATAATCATCACCTCTGGCCTATAGTAGCCCCCTCACTGGTCCCTTCATGTCCCTTCTTGTGTCACTAGGCACATGGGACTCCCACCAGAGACAGTGATCAGTGTTAAAATAATAAACTGCTTCATGTCTTCTTTCTTCGCATTTTCCTTCCATAGCTTCCCACTGACTTTAAAAAAAAAAAAATGCAGACTCCCTCCCTGGCCATCAAAGCTCCGTATGACCTGTCTGTAGTCTATTTCTTCAGCTTCATCTCACATCATGATCCCCTTCCTCACTACAGTCCAGCTCACTGGGCAGATCTGATCTGCCTCCAGGACGTGGAAATGGTGTTTGCATTATGCTGTCCCCTCAGCCTGGAACACTTTTCTTATTCTTCAGGCCTTAACCATCAACTCTTCAGAAAGGCCATCACCCACCATCATATCCTTGAGTTCCTTTTCCTCTGTAATTTTGACCTGAAACAATCTATGTTTCCTTGTCTGTACTTAGTTTTTATAGTTGAACTCCATCACTAGAATGAATGAACTCTCCATGAAGGTCATGTCTGTCTTGCCCACCTAATACACTCCTAGAAAGTGACACATGGAGGACATTCAATCAATAATGAATATTGCTGTGGATTTAGGAATGTGCAAATTTTTGCAACAATTTCTCTAACTCTGCCATGAATTTCCTTATAAAAATAAAATGCAAGTAATAAATATGCTCTTAGTAACTATAGTCTGGGAGGAAAAGCATTCATGAGTAGAAATGTATATGCCTATTTTTCTCAGTTATAAGTCAAATCCTATGAGATCATTGCTATCAGACAGTATGTTAATACTAAACAACAATTTCATAAGATACAGACGAATAAGTAAAGTCTACATATTTAGTTCAAGCTATTGTATCAGTTGGGATAGATTAGATTATGATGCAGAAATGATCCCCACAACTTAGTGGCTTACAACCACAAAGGTTTCTTCCTCACTTGTGCTATACGACATGGGTCAGCTGCAGTCTGCTTTGTGTCCTCTTCACTCTAGGACCCAGGCTGACATAGCAGTTTTCATTTAGACATCCTGGGAGTTGACTTGGCAAACCACATTCTAGTTTCTAACTAGAAATACACATATCCTTTTGGCCCACATTTCACTGGCCAAAGAAAGTTACATGACATTGCTGAATTCAACAGGGTGGAGAAGTGAATCTTTGTTTGGAGAGGCACTTCACAGGTAGGAACACAAATAATATACATATTTTGAGATGAAGTCTTGCTCTTATCACCCAGGCTGGAGTGCAATGGCACGATCTCAGCTCACTGCAACCTCCGTCTCTTGGGTTCAAGCAATTCTTCTGCCTCAGCCTCCTGAGTAGCTGGGATTACAGGCACCCGCCACCATGCCTGGCTCATTTTTGTATTTTTAGTAGAGACGGGTTTTCGCCATGTTGGCCAGGCTGGTCTCAAACTCCTAACCTTGTGATCCACCCGCCTCAGCCTCCCAAAGTGCTGGGATTACAAGCATAAGCCACTGCACCCGGCCAGAATACAAATATTTAGTGTAAAAGTAATACA